TTCAAAAAGTCCAACCAAGAGCCCTGCAAAGAGTCCAGTAAAGTCACCTCAAAGGACTTCTTCCAAATCAATATGATTGCTATATACAATATAAATATATTAATGTAGCTATATTACTCATCTATAATTGATCAAGTACAAAATTCTGGGGTATTTTTGGTGAAAATATGGCATTGGGCCTTGGTTCAGTCACCAATCCCCCATTTATAACATTGTTTCTTATGAGAAAATTGGTTCTGAGTTACAGCGTTTTGACTTAAGATGCAATTTTCAGGAACCAATTGTGTCATAAGTTCGAGGACTGCCTGTACTGTATATTAGTACAATGGCTTCCCGTATCTAGAAACAGTGGTTACACATGATAGAGTTTGGCACATCTCATTCTATCCCTTAATTACAATTTTATGAATCAGACAGTTTACTGAATACATACAAGAAAACACTGGGAGTAGAATGGTGACTGAAAATGTTGCAGTTGAAGAATCAGTGAATTTGTGGACATTGGCAAAGTTGTTTTAAGGAAGATAACAATGCCTGTTTTTACAATTATGCCTAGGTCTGGCCAGTTTTAAGGGATAATCACTTCTTATAGAAAAATGTAGTGGTCCTGAAACAAATCCTAAAAGAGAACCAGCCATACCTGATAAAAAGCTTTTGAATAATGAAATGATAAACCAATCTGCAAAAAACTCTACATGAAATGAGAAGCTGTCCATATGGCACTAAGGCAGTTTACAAAAACTAAGCTGTATCACATAGTATTTTACATGCTACATACTATTTAAAATATACTCTTTTGTATGATAGTACATGCTGTATTTGCTTCCATGTTCAACATATACTTATTTTGGCTTAAGATATTACTAGAAACTTAGCTGATTTTATTTGTTTTGTTTTGTAAGTGGGCTAACAGCTTGATCCAGAATTCAGTTGCTTCATATTATGAGATAACAAACTTCTGTATTACTTCTGCACTGCTGCAGATTGAGAAAATGCACCTACCCACTTTATGGGTAAGGCACTTCTAATATACAAGTGTCAAGTAAACCAAACGCATTCTATTCTGAAATGCTTTCCAGAGAAGAAAATCATCTTTCTGTTTTTTAGCTGTAAACTACAGACTGCTTGGAGAACAGCTAAACTCAGTTAACAACTTTCCTGAAGCTGGCCCAGACTCAGAAGAATAAGAAAATATCATTTGGGATACCTAGTTCACATATTTTGTATCTCACAAACATTCCACTCACAAAATGCATGACCTTTGATTCCTAAAGTAGAAGATATAGAACATAAGAGCATGACGGATCATTTCAGCTTGTGTACCTTTTGACAAGAATCTACATGTTCAACAGAAAGAAAACAAGGTGCACGTATTCACACAGAAAATGACAGCATAAAACAATTCTGAAAACTGCTGCGACAAACCTGTTTAGAAAGTGGCCTCTGCCTCTGATAGCTTAAGCTGCAGTTATCTCTTACATACACTCACACTCCTTTTATCTTTCACTGCTTTCAACATCCAAGGTTGCCAGAGCATAAAAATGTTTAATAGGTAAATGATCTACACATTTAATCTAATCAGCTAGAACTGTACTGAGTATCTGCTCTGTGCTGAAGACAGACACTGCAATAGGCAGTACCCTCAGTAAAACTCACATCTCATTTATGGATATTGTCTCTAAAAGTGTTTGAGGAACTGAAAACAAATACCCATGTGGAACAAGAGGGGTTTACATTTTACCTTGGGTACCAGCTGAATAACTTGACTGAAAGCACAAAAATAGCTTTGTCCTTATTATTATTATTAGTCATTTAAACAGATAAACTTTCTTGTATTCCTCTTACCTTTATATGTTGTTGATGTTTAGATTGTTCATGTTACAGACTAAGATCATCTGAGCCTCAAATCAAACTTCCCTTATGATTCAAAGAGTGGGGAGGTGGCAGAAGCTCCTGGACCATCTCAGTGTGGTTGAACTCACATAACTAGAGGCACATGAGTTGGGAAAGACTTATTAGATCATCAAGTCCGTCCCTCTGCCCAGGCAAGATAGCCCGTCCTCTGTGTGGGATTATATTAATTTATCTATCTTATCCAGAAGGTTAAAAAAAAAAGACAGAGACTAGAACACATCCTCTGAATCTTAAGCCAAGATAAAAGGTATAAATATGAAAGGGAGACGCTTCTAGTGAAAAGAATGAAAAAAAAGACAACATTTAAATGCATGGAGCTTTTGAGAGTAGTACAACATAAGCTTCAGGAGAGGGCAGATAGGAACGTGTTCCTAAGGAAGCAGAGTGACGGCTGCTATAGTTAGATAATTGCATGCAATGCACAAGGTGTTTACAACAAGTAAAACTTGATGGTCTTTCAATCCAGTTATTAAAATGCTAGCGGGTCTCATTTCAAGGAAAGAAAAACATTGAACAAAATCAGTTAGCATCCATATTTTTTTAAAGATTTTTTTAAAGAGTAATAAGTGAATCTATGAAATCTGCCCAGCTTCTAGGCAGCTGGCCAGCCATACCACAAAACCACAGGTCACAAATGGTACGCTGGCACTGGCTCCAACTGCTACCACCTACGTTGTAATTTGTTTTGTGGACAAAGGTGATCTCACATCTCATTGCCAGCAACCCAGCACCCTTTGCAAACCCTAATCTGGTTAAAACATATTAAAAAAATTCTAAAATAATTTTCATCAGCCATTTCAAAACATTCAGTGGCTGATGAATATTTATTCATCCTTTACTCTTCTACAATTGTCCAGTGGAAACAAATGGTTCCAATTAGTGACTTTTTAAATGCAGGAAATAAGACATAATTTTAGAATTGAAACCAAGCCTAACCAATATTTGCATAAAGGGGGGGGAGAGGAGAAAGGGAGAAAAACTAAGTTTCCATAAAGCAATCGGAGGAAAAAAATACATTGTCTGCAAGTCTCAGAGAGGATAAACATTTGTGACTGGTTTCCTGGAGACACTTGCATCTTAAATCAGGTACTTCTATAGTGCTTTACACAATGCAACCAGCTACCCTGAACTGGCACCACTAGAATTAAGATAATCTCTGTGAAGGGAATACTATTAAAAAGAAGATCATTCCAAAGGCTGACCAGGAAACATCTTGAAAATTGCCACCCGGCAATAAAAATAAATGAGAGAGTCTGTTATTAAATCATACCAGGTGCCAATAAACTAATCATAAACTAAGTGAAATAATCCTTAGGTATAGACCCCTTGGAAATGATGGACATTTGAAATTACATGAAGGACCACAGTGCATTTTCTAAAGCAAAGTGTCAGCAGTTTTAAGGGAGTATGGAGCACATGTTAACATAGTTTAGTCACCAATTATAAACAAAACAGAAGACTTAAACTCTTGTATCAAAGTGGATTAATTTGCCTGTAGAGAAAATCTGCATTTACTGTACTACACTGCTGCAACAGACTGCTTTCAGCATTGGATTTCAAAGGTGAAAAATCCATCCACCCCCTTTCTTGCCCCACCCACAAAAGTTACTACAATAAAATCAAGCAGGTAATGATAAAGACAGAGAGTATCAGTTTTACAATTAATTTTGTTAGGAATAAAAGCAACATACTGAATATGTGGAGTACAGCACCGAATGCTTGAGTTAAAGCCTGCCTTCTGGTAATCTTACTGAAATCTGCCAACTCACATCACTTTAGCAAGACTTTCATCTCCAGATTTCTGTTGAAATCCCCAAGCACATGATTCTCCCTACAATTCTCTTTTCCAGCAGACTGATCAAACCCCCTTGTTCTCTCTTCTGTACATTGGGCACATTTACTGTGGCGCTTATGTGGCTGGAATGGCAAAAATGGAGCCCTGTTAAACTGGGACAACTACTAGAATATCCCAGCTATGTGCACTGAGGCTCATTCTCAACATGACATGGATGCACTGCCCCCCTTCTGGAGAAAAAGAAAAAACACCTTACAAAAAAACCAATCATTCCCTGATAGAAGCACAGAGATGTCTGCTGTTGTTTACAGATAGCAGGATTTGAAGTCTTAATCCCTGATTGAACTTTGGGTAACATCACGTTATATAGAAGCGTGCTTACAAAGATTTGAAGCACACAGAAAACAGGGTAAAAAACTGATCTGTGTGCAGAACTTTTGTTTTGATATATATAAATCAGTGCAGGTTCAATGATAGTTATTACCTCTCCCACTCCTGCCTCTTTTACTTCTACAAACAGAAATATTTAATTTGTTTATACCTCTAACTTCCTAAAGAATCTTCAGCATTAGTTTTATAGCTTCATATCAAAATATACTCTAGGTTTAAGTTATTTTAATTTTTTTCCCCATTACACACTTTGGTAATCTCCCCCCACCATTTTCTCCTGTTGTATACATGATGGTCAATAAACAGATATTACACTGGACCGGATTCAATTCATGATTGAGCAGAGGGCACAAGAATGATCTGATAGCAGTGAACTGAGTTAGGGACTGAAAAAGAGCGTGGCCTTAACAGACGTTTCGGCTTTCTCTTCTGTAAGCAATTTATCTGCTTCTTACAGGTTCTGGCAAGGTTAGAATTTGCACAATATTTTGAGGATGGGCAAGTAACGTACAAGTGCTTCACATTAAATTAAGTTGTCCATAGTGGATGAGGAATAGGTGAATAAAGGCTTCTCTGTTTCTGTTGAAGCCATGTAAACTGATTTTCTTTTTCCACCGTTCTGACTTGACTGTAGGGAAACACACACACATTACTAGCGAGCGAGCCATTTTAACAGAACATTTTGTTACTTGACAGTTCAGCTCCCTCATCAGTTACCGGTAATCCTGCTCCCACAGCCAGTTATGGCTGACTAACTGGTCTGCATTTATGTTGCTTGGCAAGACATAGCTTCCTTTGGAAAGAAAGGTCAAGCAATCTCTTTCCCACACATCTCTTCACCGTAGTCCCTCTTCTACAGAGAATTGGCTGAGACTCCCTTTCATAATCAGTCAACATCATTCTTGATATTTTAAGGAATCTTAAAAGTGTATTAAAAACAGAAGACCAGGATAATATACATCTGATACTAGCACCATGGGATACTGCTGGAAAAAGCTGAAGTCCACAGAGACAACATTATATATCTACCCACATCACCTAAGCAATCACTTGGCTGAGACTGGAAAATACTAGTATTTCAAGGATTAAAATACATCCAATGAATTAATCATGTCAGTCAGATGCATGTTGACCAAATAATCTGCTGCTATGACTAAAGCAATTTTCTGTAAAAACTGTGCTATCATTTAAGTTCAGAAAGTAGTGCTGTCTGGATTCAGGTAGTCTGTCAGATAGTTCAAAGAGCTAGCAATTCCTCCCCTCCCTGAAGTGTAACCCAATGAAAAGGGCTCAAAATATCAGATAAAGTGGCTAAATCTAGTTCTGACAGTGATTCTGTTTAAACCCACTGGGGAGAGCTTGAGGGTAGTAAGAGGTCAGGCTCTCTCTCTCTCTCTCTCTCATTGCTCCAACTCTTTTGCTAACTTGCAGAATAGGCCACACAAAAATTATAACAGACCACAACAGTTTCCAAGCAAAATCCATGGAATGTTTCTTCCAGTCAATAACTTTAGAATGATAACAGTGTGCCTGATCAGAGAGCCAGAAAAATTAACAGACTTTCACAAGCAGACAAGGTTCTTTGGTAGATGCGATAACTTTTTTATTAGGCCAACTAAATTGTTGGAAAAAATTGTTCTTTGCAAGCTTCCGGGCACAAACACACTTCTGCAGCATTTGTGCCCAGAAGCTTGCAAAGAACATTTTTCCCCAACAACTTAGTTGGTCTAATAAAAAAGATATCACATCTACCCAAAGAACCTTGTCTGCTTATGTCCTTAGACCAACATGGCTATAACCAACAGACTTTCACAAAGTAGTTTTACTACAGAAATTGAGCCTTCAAGCCACAAAGAGCAAGAATTAAACAGCATTTTTCTTCCTGAAGTCTGAGAGATGGCAAAAAGGAAAGCATTAAGATACAGTTCTTCAAGGAAAAGGGAGGGCTGCATAAGATAGGGGAATATACTGAAAATGGTCAGCAGACAGTACTCTCACATATTTGCATCTGGAAAGGGGCTTATAACATGCCACTGGCAAGTACATGCTCAGAAAAGTTAACCCCTTTGAATTACACCTCTTGCTTGCTAAACAAGAGAAAACAGGTCATTTGAATTCTGACCACATTGCCCTTAATCCAAAAGATGCCCTACTCCTAATTACACAATTAGATCTTTCAAAGGGGAATTATTTTCTCTGCCACTAAGTTTTGGCCATGCAGTTTTACTAGGGGCTATCTGAAATTCCTTTCATTAAGAGATACAATCTTGTTAGTTGCCTCAGCCAGGAAGTATTATTATCTGCAATAATTCTTAGGAGAGCTTGAACACAGAAATCTTTCTGATCCATATGAACAATATGCGCTGCATCAATACACACAGGAATTATTTTTCACATCCAAAGCATATTTGCATGCCTCCTTTGGTTTTTGCAGGTACAGTCTGTTGATTCATCCTTTAAAAAAGGAAGAGCTATTTGATTACTGGAAGAAAATATGGTCAAGATGCAAGAGATGCGGTTAGTGCTCTGCAGGGACGTCAACAGTCACAGACAGAGCTGCCAGACCTTGTTTTAAGCACTTAGCAAGGGGTGTCTGGAAGACACATGAAGACAATGGGCAAAGTGTCCTGGATTCAATCATGGCTGTGCAGTTGGATATTAAACATTTGAAAACAGCTCAAGCAGACAGAAATTAACTACATTTAACTGCTCAGAAGCTGAACAGCTGTATCTATTTTTCTTTAGGCAAGTCTCTCAACCAATTTTGTGATGCACTTATGTGGCTCTTGCAGTACACTGGAAATTGCAGACCTGTCTTTGGTCATTTCTGGAACTAATTCTACAACTGTGCCAAATATCCAAATCAGAATTATACTTCTTAAAAAAT